TGGGGCCACGAAACGCTGTACTGGGTGGGTGAAGCGCAGGGAGGAGGGAGGAAGAAGAAGAGGAGGAGGAGGAGGAGGAGGAGGAGCTGGCTCTCTCTGACTGTTCTCTTCTCATGTTCGCTCCACTCGGAGCAGCTCCCGCTGTCTCCGGATGGCGCTCCCGCCTCGGCTTTCGCCCCCTCCACCGGGTCGTGCCCCCAGGCCAGCGCTCCAGGTCGCGGCCTGCTCTTTGGCTGTCGCGTGCGTCTGGTCCCGCACCAGGTCGTCGGCGCCGCCGTTGCCTCGCCGGCGTCGTGGTCGTCGCGCCCCTCCCTTTCTTCGTCCCCCGCGTCGCAGCCCCTCCTTCCTGGTCCTCCTCATGATCGTGTTCGTGAGCATGGCCACGTTTTTGTCATGCAGCATGGCCGGTGTGCTCAACAATCATCCTCGCCCTCCCCATCACCAACATCATCAACAACATCAGCATCATCATCACCACCATCATCATCCTCATCATAATCCTCCTCATCCTCATCAGCATCATCACCGTAATCACCATCACCATTATCATCACCACCATCACCATCACCGTCGTCACCATCATCGTCATCATCAGCAGCATCATCGTCGTCTCATCATCATCACCATCAGCAGCAGCATCATCATTCGCAACATTATTTTCAAAATCATCCTGGTCTTCATCAGCACCATCATCAGCATCATCATCATCGTCGTCATCATCATGAGTACGTACACCATCAGCATCATCATCAGCAGCAGCATCATCATGCTCATACTCATCATCATCAGCATCACCACCATCACCGTCGTCAGCATCAGCATCATTTCATCACCATCATCAGCATCATCAGTATCATCATCAGCAGCAGCATCATCATCAGCATACGTAATCGTATTATTACTAGTAATCATCCCTTACCCTCCATATGATTCCTCTTGCTCTTCCTATTCCCCTATCGCTCCTATCCTTTATGCTGCTGCTGCTGGTCCACCCCCTCCTGCTGCTCCTCCTGCTGCTGCTCCTCCTCCTCCTCCTCCTCCTCCTCCTCCTCCTCCTCCTATGCCATGTGTGGCGTGAGTGCTCCCTGCCTGTCCTGCTTCGCCGCTGCCTTCGCCCCTCCGACGCCCAGGGAGTCATGCAGACGAACCTCGAGAAGATCAAGGACCTCCGTGACGAGCTCTTGCCCCCCGAGGCTCCCCCGTCGCGCGCTCCCTGGACTAGGAGGCTTCGTCGAGGGATGTGTCCGCTCCATCCGCGGGGGAGGGGGGGAGGAGGAGGAGGAGGAGGAGGAGGAGGAGGAGGAGGAGGAGGAGGAGGAGGAGGAGGAGGAGGAGGAGGAGGAGGAGGATGGAGAGAGAGAGGAGGAGGAGGTGGAGGAGGAGGAGGAGGCTTGGAGGAGAGAGGAGGAGGAGGAGGAAGGAGGTGGTTGCAGGAGGACAAGGCAGGCAGGACCGAGCCGAGCGCCCGAAGCGCAGTCCGAGAGCCACCCGGCCGCAGTGGGCTTGCGCGCGCCGAGCCGCGGGGAGGCGGCGGGCGGTGCCCAAGCATCCACCACCGCATGCCCCCCTCCGCGTGGGCGCGCGGGCCGCGGCGGGCCTCCCCCGATGCCTCCCTCCCATCCTCCTCATCCCTCCTCCTCATCCTCCTCCTCCTCCTTCTTCTTCTTCTTCTTCTTCTCATCCCTCATTCCTCCTCGTCCTCCATCCTTCTCCTCCCCCTCGCCCGCCCTCTCGTCCTCCTCGTCCCCCTCACGCCTCCTCGTCCTCCTCGTCTCCTCCCTCCTGCTCCTTCTCCTCCCCCGTTCCTCCTCACTGTTCGCCCTCTCCCACCGCTCGTCGTGTGCGGCCGAGCGGCGGGCAGCCAGGCGGGCCGCCGGTCGGGCAGCCAGCACCTCTCGGTGGCCGTGCATTTCACCCCCCCCCTCCTCCACTCCCTTGGGCGCCAGTCGTTGACGGCAGGTATTTTCGGATTCCCAGATCCCGATCTGCTTCCGAGCGCTTTCCTGTCTCGAAGAAATACGCATGAATTCGTTGCCGATTGCTCTTCTTTGGACGGGCCTGGTCCCAATCTGCTCTATCCGCCTTCCTACTTCATGCTCCGACTGGCGGGTGCTCGGTGCAAGGCAGTGAGGCCCGGTATTCCCCCGATCGGGCACCGGCCTGGAGCCTGTCGCCTGCGCAGCATGCTTGTGCAGCGCATTCATCGGAGCGTGAATTACCTACCCCGCTTTCGCTTCCAGGCAAAACCAAGTCATACCACGCGCCCCCTCGTCAAGCGGCCTGACCAGTACAGGCCGCAGTTTGGCATCGCTTGGTATCTCTTGGAAGCGAGGGTGGTCAAAAGCGAGGTAGGTTTGTTTTCCCCCTAATTCAGGAGCGACGGTCCGTGCGCGGAGGCCACAGCGGAGACGGAGACTGGTGCATGGGGGGGGGAATGGGATAGGGAAGAGGGTGGGGAGACGAGAAGGGAGGGTGCGCGGCGCGGAGGAGAGCGGAGGAAGAAGGGGTTGTGGGAAGGGGATGCGTAAAGGGAGGATTGGGGGGGCGGAGGGATTGGGAGGGAGAAGGGCTGGGGAAAGGTGGACTGAGGGAGGTGGCGGCAGGGAACGGGGAGAAGGATGGAGAATTAGGAGGAGGTCGAGGAATTCCACTGGCGGGGGTGCGAGAGGGAGGACGAGGTGCAGCTGCAGCAGAGCAGGGTACAGATAGCAGGAGCCAGCGGAGATTTCGAGTGTTGCCGCAGGTTCTGAAGTTCCTGGGATCCAGCAACCAGTGGGAGATGACGCTGGAGGAGGAGAACTTGCAGGCCAGCACACTGTGATTTCTCAGTGCTCGCGAGCTTGAGTCGCGCTGCTCGCATCCTTACCATGCATCTCTGACCTAACGCTTTCCGATACCTCAGGCGGCACGAACGATTCATGATGTCGAGTTTGCGGATTGCTCGCCCCAAAGAGAAAGAGGACGGCGGCGACGACGACGAAGAGGATCATAGGCCCCCAACGCACGCCCAGAGGCAAGAGTAAGTAGGAGGAGGGGGAAAGGAGATCTGCAAGGACTGTTCTCCGATGGTTCGAGTTCCGAAGGAGTCCGAGGGGCCGACACGAGCCTGCGAAGCCGAAGCTGCGACAAGTGGAGCCGCATTTTGTGGGCCCCCTGAGGTGATGGGGAGTGGGGGAGAGAGAAGGAGGGAGGACGCGATGCGGTTCCCCCACGAATCTGCATGACATGAAACGCATGTGGTCGAAGTTGCTGCCAGGTGCCTCTCGGGGACTGCGAATCGATGGTGCGAAGCCTCACGGAATGACGGCCTCTCTGTATTGTCCGGGGGGCCGCTGAAATTGGCACTGCAGCTGAAGTGGGTGGGTCCCCTGCCGGAGTGGACAAGGCATTACCCCTGGCGTTGTTGCACGACTTGTAGCAGGCATTCCGCGCCAGATGCAGGAGAGATGTTCACGCATCGTGGAGGAGCTTGCCACCAAGTCTCTCACGCTTTACCAGTGGTCGGAAACTTGGACTGATGTTGGAAGTGGTATGTGCGATGTCTGCAGCCTCACACTGCGACGATCACTTAAGATCACTTGCATAGAAACGCTGGCTTTCCGTACCGGGCACAACTGCATCGATTCCAATGCGTACCGATGTGGCAGGCCCTGAGGAAAGGGTAATCTGACACAGCGACAAAATCGCACGATGAAGCACGATCGGATGGAGGCGTCAGTATAAGGATGAGGAGCGCATCTTGAATTAGTGCGGGCCCTGCTTGTTGACTTGATCAACGTTTCTTGCCGCATCAGGCTCCTGGTGCTGGCTTATCGTAGTCGATCCCGCGGGAACGTAGTGGGCAAAGGGGTTGGCCATGAGACCGCGGAAGAGTTCCCCCACGAATTTGCATGACATGAAACGCATGTGGTCGAAGTTGCTGCCAGGTGCCGCTCGGGGACTGCAAATCGATGGTGCAAAGCCTCACGGAATGACTGCCTCTCTGTATTGTCCGCGAGGGGGGCCGCTGAAATTGGCACTGCAGCTGAAGTGGGTGGGTCCCCTGTCGGAGTGGACAAGGCATTACCCCTGGCGTTGTTGCACGACTTGTGGCAGGCATTCCGCGCCAGATGCAGGAGAGATGTTCACGTCGCCCCTGAGTCTTGGAAGACGTTGCCGTTTGGCGGCATCGTGGAGGAGCTTGCCACCAAGTCTCCCACGCTTTACCAGTGGTCGGAAACTTGGACTGATGTTGGAAGTGGTATGTGCGATGTCTGCAGCCTCACACTGCGACGATCACTTAAGATCACTTGCGTAGAAACGCTGGCTTTCCGTACCGGGCACAACTGCATCGATACCAATGCGTACCGATGTGGCAGGCCCTGAGGAAAGGGTCATCTGACATAGCGACAAAATGGCACGATGAAGCACGATCGGATGGAGGCGTCAGTATAAGGATGAGGAGCGCATCTTGAACTAGTGCAGGCCATGCTTGTTGACTTGATCAACGTTTCTTGCTGCATCAGGCTCCTGGTTCTGGCTTATCGGGGTCGATCCCGCGGGAGCGTAGTGGGCAAAGGGGTTGGCCATGAGACTGCGGATGAGTTCATCCGCGTGATGGAGCACGCCACGGAGCCCGCAGCGATCTCGTGGAAGGAGAGTCGATTGGGCCTTGGTCTTTCCGACCACGACCCGCTTACCATGGACGCATACGACGGGCAGCCGAATGGCCCGAAGATGGTTTCACCAACATCAGAAATGTGCAGGCACGTCGGACCATTACTCCAGATGTCGTAATAAAAGGGAGGGGGTCTGGACCCTCCAAGACAAGCCATTTCAGACCCCCCCGGCGGGGAACCCTCCAAAACATCGTCCCCAGACCCCCCAGGCCCTCCAAGATAGCCTGGAAGAGACCCCCCCGAAAGGAGACCCCCCTCCCTTTATTACGAAATCTGGAGTACCCAATCACACCCGAAGAGACGGTACCGAAACATGCCTGGACCGCGGGCGCCAGCGAGCAGGCGCCGGCCGAGTCAACGGCGGGGCGCACCTTGATCGAGGTGAGGCCCGAGAGCGCAAGAAGGGCCCGCAGGGCGGAGCAGAAGGAGGTCGGTCAGAGCATCGGAGGGCACCAACTATACACCAACACCGATCCTGGCCCAGGATCACCCTGGGCCCAGGATCGGTGTATATGCCTTCTTGCGCAAGGCAGGAGGGCGTATACGCCGATCCTGGGCCCAGGGTGATCCTGGCCAGGATCGGTGTCGGTGTATAGTTGGTGCCTTCCTAGAGCATGCAGCTCTGCACGGGCGTGCAGGAGCCGCGCAGCCATGCGGAGTCCACGTAGATTGAAGCGGCCGGAAGACCGTGTAGTGATGCCGAAAGCCCGTGAGCAGCGCGGTCCTGGGACAGGATCTGGAGCGCTCGGAGTGGTGGTCCTTGTCAGGCAACGCGAGGACTCTGAACAGGCCGGTCGTGGAGAGGAAGGAGCAGACCCAGGCACCGCCGCGGATACGCACGGTTGGAGTTTGAGGGAAAGGCCGAGCAAGAAGAGAGGCCAGGAGCCAGCCAGAATTACCGGACGAAACTGGCGGATCAAAATGCTGGGATGAAAGAAACCACGGACCTGTCAGATTGAGAAAGCGTCGACAGTCGTGAGCCAAAAGTGGGCACACAGGGCCCAAAGACGCGCTCAACGAACGGCATTAAACACAAAATGGCATCGAAGCCAATAGCGCGTATGCGCAGGACTCTAATTCACCCTTACTCCCTATTTGTTCCGAATAGTGTGCGCATGCTTCCTTTGCGACGTAAAGGTCCAATGTTCGAGGTCATTGCCTCAGCCGCCTGGTCAGAGGCCTGGACGCCTGCATGCACTGGCGATACTCGTCCCATTGGTCGTATTGTTGCTTTCTTGCTATCATTGAAATAGTGTGTTGTTTTCCCACCTCTTGTTGCCTCGGATCCTTTTGTTCATCGCCTCTTCTTCCTCCTCCCTTGGCCCCGCTTCTCCTCGCTGCCCCCTGGCCGCTCGTCTCATCCAGGGTCCCTCCCCACTCGAACCCTCAACGTGCATGGACGAACCCCTGAGGTGATGGAGGCGTTCCATAAGGACGGCGAGTTCTACGGTTCCTTATCCGCGGAGGGGAATGGGGGCGGTCGTCGTCGCCGTCCTCCCCGTCCCATTGCTCCTTGTCCAAGTCCGCCCTATCCGGAGGGGAATGGGGGCGCGTATGGCGGGCCGTAGGTCGGGTTACCGATCAGGAAGCTAGCGGTGGTGGGCTGGAAAGTATTGCGAGAAGCGTGGGGGCAGTGAACACATACATACATACATACATACATACATACATACATGCATGCATACATACATACATACATACATACGTACATACATGCATACACACATACATACATATATACATACATGTATACAAACATACATGCCATACTATATATGTATATACATACATACATGCATGCATACAGACATGCATGCATACATACATGCATGCAGTCATACATACATACATATATACATACATACAGGCATACATACATACATACGTACGTATACATACATACACACATACATACATACATACATACATACATACATACATACAGACATACAGACATACATGCACACATATCCACATACAGACATGCACCCATACACGCATGCATACATACATTCATGCATGCATACAAACATACATACATGCATACATAACTACAAGCATATATGTATATGTATGCATACACACATGCATACATATATACATACATACATGCATACATACATGCATATAACCGTATACATACACATATACATACATGAATATACATATACATACACACATATATACCTGCATGCATACACACATACATAAATGTATACATACACACATACATATATACATGCATGCATGCACGCATGCACATATGGACACAACCATTCACAGCATTATACACGCAACCATTCACGGCGCACCGGGTCCGGGGGCCCGGAGCCGGGACCCCGACCACAAATGTGGGCCCCGGGGGGCCCGGAGGCTCGTCGGACCGCCGGACGCCGTCCAAGATCGTTCGCAGGCGGCTTCGGAACGCGCTCCGATGGCTCCAGATGCCTTCCAAGACGCCTGTCATGACACCAAGAAGGTCCCAGAAGCCTCCAAGACGCTCCGAGAGGCAGCCCAAGAGAGGCCCAAGAAGCAAAAATCGTGCCATTCTATGGGAAAACGTATAATTTTCGCATGTTCGCCTCTTGGGCTTTCACCGCGTCCAAGACGGCCCAAGAGGCGCCCAAGACCGCCCCAAGACGGCCCAAGAAGCTTCCAAGAGGGCCCCAGGACAGCCCAAGAGGGCCCCAAGACGGCCCAAGAGGCGCCCAAGATGGCCCAAGAGGGCCTCAAGACGGGCCCAAGAGGGGGCCCAGAGGGGGACCACGAACCGCAAGCTCGAGCCTTCGCCCCAAGAGGCCGCCAGGAGGCCCCAAGGAGGCCCCTCAAGAGGCCCCAGGAGACCCCCAAGAGGCCCGAAGGAGGCCCCGAGAAGACCCAAATCGGCCCCCAAAATGCTTCGAACCTGCTTCCAGGAGGCCCCCGACAGGTTCAAAGGCTCCCGAGAAGCTACGTCAAACTCCCAGCGAGCGGCCGGACGAGGCCCCCCACAAAATCACAAGAGGGTTCGGTTCCAGTATTTGTATCCTTCAGCGCTCTCTAGCCTTCTTCCCCCTGCCCCCTTCCCTGCGACTTTCGTTGACTCAAGCTCGCCTCCTAGCTAGAACCTAAGCGCGCGCGAAGCGCGCGCGTGGTTCTAGTTTATATATATATATACAAATATACATGCATACATGCATGCATGCATGCATCTATATACATACATACATACATACATACATACATACATACATACATACATACATACATACATACATACATACATACATACACATACATACATACATACATACATACATACATACATACATACATACATACATAAATAAATACATACATACATACATACATACATACACACATACATACATACATACATATATACATACATACATATATACACACATACATACACACATACATATATACCTACATACATACATACATACATACATACATACATACATGCCATACATACATACATACATACATACATACATACATACATACATACATACATACATACATACATACATACATACATATGGTAGGGTGGTTCGCAAGATATGTGTTGGATATTCCCCGCGTTGTTTTGTTACCCTCGTTACGTTGTCTCTTTCTTTGCGTAGCTTTTCCGCGTGATCCTTTGCCGTGGTTCTCTGGACGGGGATTTCGATTCAGAGCTGTCCGATCTCTGGCCTGTTGGAAATCCGATTTCCAGAGGACGCGTGAGGCTGGGCATGCAGCTGGGCGTCGGGCTGGGCGCCGGGCTGGGCAGGCGCAGGGCACAGCGTCGCCTGGGGCGTTGGAGAGGGCTTCGGATGGATCGCCCGGAGGGGCGCCTGGGCGGGCAGCAGGAAGGGCGGAGGGACGGGCGCCAGGGGGGGGCCTGGAGGGCTGCGCGCAGGGCAGTGCGCTGAGCAGGGCGCAGGGCTGGAGGTGAGGCATGGCGGCGAAGGCATCGCCAAACTTAGCGTCGGGGTCAGCGCTGCCGCGACGCTGCAAGGCGCCTGGAAGGGCGGCAGGAGGGGCGGGGGGGGGGGGGGGGGGGGGGGGGGGGGGGGGGGGGGGGGGCGTGCGGCATGGGTCAAAGCGCGGCGCTCCTCGGCGGCCCCTCCAGCGCCCCCGGCGGCCTGGCGGGCGTGGCGGCCACAGATCGAGCTATAGCTATGCTGGGGGCGCCTGAGGCGGCGTCGGGCTGGGCGAAGGATTGGGCTATGCTCCAAGGAGGGGGCGAAAGCCTGGGCGTGAGGCAGGGCGCCGGGCTGGGCCTTGGTCTGGACGTCGCTGATGCTGGCGCTGTAGCTGATCGCGTCGGGCTTGGAGTCCGAAGCCAGCATCTCGCCGAGCAGCGGCAGGACCTGGCATTCGCGGATCCCCACATGGTAGCTGATCGTGCTGGGCTCACCCTGTCCAATATCGCTGATTACGGCCCGCACTGTAGCTGGTTGCGCGTGACACCTCACACTCGCCGACCCTGCCACTGTAGCTGATCGCACTGGGCGTCACCTCCACCGCCCGCGCATCGCTGAGCAGCGGCGCAGCCCACTGCAAGTGCGCCCGAATAACGCACCCGCTGATGCCAGCATTGCAGCTGATCGTATTGGGCCCGCAGTTTGTGGCTAGCACCGTGCTGAGCAAAGCGGCAGGGCCCGCTGCCACTGCTCTCCGACCTCGCACTGGTAGCTGATCCCGTCGCTGTAGCTGATGATCGCGTAGGGCTGGGCGCACGGTGAGGCGTCGGAAGGGGCGAGGGGCTGGGCGTCCTGCAGGGTGGAGGGGTGGGCGGAGCCGGGGGGGTGAGGCTTGACGTCGGGCGGCGGGGCGGAGGGCTGGGCGTAGGGCTGGGCGCAGGATTAAACTTTTGCCTCCACAGTGGAGATCAACGTCTCGTTGAGAAGTGCCATGGCTCGCTGTCCCCGCGCTTCAGGCTCGCACCCGTTGATCATGGCACTGTAGCTGATCACGTTGGGCCAGGCAAAAGTGTGGCGCCGGGCAGGGCAGAGGGCTCGGCGTCCGAAGCCAGCTTGGAGACCACAATTTCGCTGAGCAGCGTCATGGCCCAATGCCACTGCTCTCCAATCTCGCAGCCGCTGATCCCCGCACTGTAGCTGATCGCGTTGGGCGCCGCCGCTGCAACCAGCGTGCCGGCGTGCGGCGGCCTGTCCCTTTGTAGCAGCATCTCCATTCTCACGGTCACGGATCCCACCACAGTAATTGATTGCGTCGGTTCAAGCTATCTACTGGCATTCCGCTGAGCAGCGGCGCGGCCCGCTGCCACTGTTCTCCAACTTCGTATCCGCGGATCCAGGCACTGCAGCTGATGACATTGGAATGGGCGTGGAGTGAATTTTCGGGAGGGGCGGAAGGCGGAGCGTCGCGCGAGGTGGAGGGGCAGACAGAGGGCTGGGCGAAGGGCATGGCGACAGGTGGCAGGGTGAAGGAAGGGGCGTCGGGCTCCAGCTTGGAAACCAGCCTCTCGAAGAGCAGCGTCGCGGCCTGCTGCCATTGCTCACCAACCTCAAGCTCGCTGGTTCCAGCGCTGCAGCTGAGCACATTGGGCTGGGCGCAGGGAAATGAGATTTCGGGCAGGCCGGGGGGCTGGGCGTCGAGAAGGGAGCTGGGCAGGGCGTTGGGCTGGGCGCAGGGCTGCGCGACGACGTCGGGCAGGTGGCTCTTCATATCCCTCGTGCGCCTTCCAGCGCCGCCGCCGGCCGCGGCGGCAGCGCAGCGCGCCGCAGCCGCAGCGTCCCCAGCCGCCCGCGGCCGCGCGGCCCTCCGCCCTCGAGGCGGCAGGCCCGCCTCCGCCAGCGGCGGCGGCAGCGGCCGGGGGCACGGCAGCTCTGGCTCATT